GTAGGATGAGCAGACACCATGATTAGAACACATAGGATTAAATATCTTGTATGGCCCTGGCTGGTGTACTTCAGTGGATTGAGTGCCGACCTGCAAACCAAAGAGTCACTGGTTCAATTCCCAGGCAGAGCACATGCCTGGGTTGCAGACCAGGTCACCAGTGGGGGATATGTGAGAAGCAATCACACACTGATATTTCTCTCCCTCTCTTTCTCCTTCCCTGTCCCTCTCTCTAAAAATAAAATCTTTTAAAATAAACATCTTGTATGGTAATCAATGGAAGATCAATAGACAAATGGTGAGGACAAACATAGGGTCAAGCAGACACTACATGAGATCTAAAGAAAGGTGATAAAACATCCCTGTGAGCTAATGGGAGGTCAGCATTCACCATGCTGAATCTAAAGGAGGGTAAAAAGACACGATAATGAGTTAATGAAGGCTTATCAGTCACCAAGCTGGAGGTGAAATATGTGAAAAAACACTATACTATGAGCAAATGGGGATCAACAAAAATTGTAATGGATACTAGACTTATTCAGGTAATTAATTCCTGAGTTATATAAAAGTCTAATCACTATGTTGTACAGCTAATATGGTATGACAACTCTAAATGAAAAGTTCAAAATTAAAAACTAATAAATGTACACTTTAAAATTGATAAAACTGTGAACCTCATGTAAATTTTGTCTCAATAAATTTTTTCAATAAAAAATTTTTAAACAAATCCAGTTTATGAGATTCTTTTTTTAAAGATTTTATTTATTTATCTTTAGAGGGGAAGGGAAGGAGAGAGGGAGAGAAACATCAATGTATGGTTGCCTGTCGTGTGTCCCCTGCTGGGAATTGGCCTGCAGGGAACCGGCCTGCAACCCAGGTATGTGCCCTGACTGGGAATCGAACTGCGACTGTTTGGTTCGCAGGCCCGTGCTCAATCCACTGAGCTACAACAGCCAGGAATTCAATAAAAATTTTTAAACAAAAACTATAATGGAAGCTAAAAGAGGTTGTGAGACATGATGCTATGAGCAATGGTGGAGGTGGTCGACAGACTTTGATGGAGCAAAAACTAGTGATAAGATGTTGTGAGCTAATGGTGGGTCAGCAGACATTGTGCTCTGCGTTAAAAGAGGTGATAAGAACTGCTATTAGCTAATGAGGTGTTTATAGATACTGTGCTACCATATCATGGGGGTAAAACCTACTGCATGGTAGCTAACGTAGAATCAGGAGAGACTGTCCTTAGGTTATTGGGAGTCAAAATACACACAGTAGGGGGATGACCATGTAAGTGATGGTAGCTAAGAGGACCAGGGCAATCCATTATGGGCCTCAGTAAAGGTCATTTTCATGGAGTAAGACCATTTCTAAAGCCTTGGGAGGACTAGGTCTCTCATTGCCAATGTCTTTCATTTCAGCTAGTGGTCAAAATTCCTGTTTTTCTCCCAGGCAGCTCCTGTTGTGGGAAGAGGGAACTTTTTATTATTGTTTTTAAGTTTTAAGTAAGATATAATTTACATACAATAAAATATACAGATATTAAGTTTACTCTTTTTTAAAAGATTTTATTTATTTATCTTTAGAGGGGAAGGGAAGGAGAGAGGGAGAGAAACATCAATGTATGGTTGCCTCTCATGTGTCCCCTGCTGGGAAGTGGCCTGCAACCCAGGCATGTGCCCTGACTGGGAATCGAACCGCAGTTGTTTGGTTCGCAGGCCTGCGCTCAATCAACTGAGCCACACCAGCCAGGGCAAGTTTACTCTTTTGATGACTGTTGTATACACCCATTAACAAACATTCCAATCAATATACAGAATAGTTCCATCATCCCAGAAAGTTCCCTCTTACCACTTATGAATTAATTCTCACTCCAGAGATAACCACTGATCTGCTTTCAATTATAGATTGTTTTATTTATGCTTGACATTTTCCATAATAATAATTTTAAAACATCAAGTTTGGCAGTAAAAAAAGAAGGAAATCTTACTCTTTGTGACAGTATGGATAGACCTGGAGAACATTGTGCTAAATGAAATAAGCCAGTCGGAGAAAGACAAATACCATATCATCTCATATGTGAAATCAAATAAACAAAAATAAACTAACAACCAAAATACAGACACACTCATAGATAGAGAACAGACTGACAGCTATCAGAGGGGAGGAGGATTGCAGGGCTGGGTGAAAAAGGTGAAGGGATTAAGCTAAAACAAAACAAAAGAAAAACAACTCATAAACACAGACAACAGTATGGTGGTTACCAGTGGGAAAGGGGGTGGAGGGTGGTAGTAGAGGGTATAATGGGTTAAATGGTGATAGACAGATACTTGACTTTGGGTGGTGAGCACACAATACAATATACAGATGATATGTTATACAGCTGTACACCTGAAACCTATATAACTTTATTAACCAAATTGTCACCCAAATAAATTCAATTAAAAAGTGAAAGAAAGAACTTTTGGGAGGGGAGTGGGACTGGAGATTAAGTTATTAAGTTTAACCACTAGTGATTTAATCAGCTGTGTCTATGTAATAAAACCTCTATAAACACCCAAAACGATGGGTTTTAGAGAACTTCAAAGCCAGTGAACATAAAGAGATTTGGAAGAGTGGTACACTCAGAGAGCATGAAAGTTTCACATCCTTTCCCCATACCTTGCCCTATTCATCTCTTCCACCTGACTGTTAAATGTTTTCTGAGCTCTGAAAAAAATCAAGTTTTATGTTTTAAATGAATAAGTTGGTGATTAGAAGAACTGATGAGATAACATCTTCATAAATTAATATTTAGTAAATGGAGGTGAGGCATTCTGTATATGAAATGCAGAAAGTATAATATGTATATTCAAGCGTATGCTATATTGGGGGGGTCATCTGATAATTAATTAAAATATCCTGGATTATCATAATCATTATAGGACATTCAGGGGAAAAAGCAAAAAAAAAAAAAGGCATTTAATTTAGCATCAATTTACTATGGCATAGTCACCAAATACTAAAGGTAAAATATTTGCTTTTGCTTATCAAATAAGGTACAATAGAAAACATTCTCAGACAAAGTTGAGGTTTGCTGTTAACGACCTCCACTACAGAAAACTCTAATGGGTATTTTTCAGAAAATGATTCTGGAGGAATGCAGAAAGGAATAAAGAGCAATCAAGGTGATGAATATGAGAGTAAAGTAAAATGAATATATAAAGCAAAAATGTTTTCTGTGGAGATTTGCATGTACATGTGTTTATACAAACACATACTTTGCATTTAAGAATATGTATCAACCCCATAATACATAATTATATTTTGAATTATAATACATACATTATACTCACATATATGAGCAAAGTTTCTATTAAAAGATTAGCTTTCAAAGACGATAATTGGAGAAAACCATAAAATATTATTGAAGGTCAAAAAAGATGCATTAAAAATAAAAAAGACAAACCACATTCATGAATGGAAAGGTTTAAAGCCATTTTACACTTTTCAGATTGGCAACAATTTCAAAGACTGATAGTAAGTCTTGGTGAATATGTGGGAAAATGTAAACTTTTTCTCCAACTGCTCATTAGATTGTAAATTAGTATAATTTGGAGGGAAATTCAATTATTATCTTTTAATTTACTGATTTGAGAGAGAAAGGAAAAAAACATTGATTTGTTATTCCGCTTATTTATAAATTCATTGGTCGATTCTTATACATGCCCTGAATCAGGGATTGAACGTGCAACTTTGGCAAATTGGGATAATATTGTAACCAACTGAGCTACCCATCCAGGGCTCAATTATTTAATAAAGTTGAAAAACTTTTTTTTTTGCAAAAATATGGAACGCTTCACGAATTTGCGTGTCATCCTTGCGCAGGGGCCATGCTAATCTTCTCTGTATCGTTCCAATTTTAGTATATGTGCTGCCGAAGCGAGCACTAAAGTTGAAAAACTTTTATGTTAACCAGAACCCAGCTAGGAGACAGAAGCCTTACCAGTTATTTTAATAGAAAGCCCTTACTATGAAGAATTCTTAACTGGTAATGAAGTTATTAACCACATAAATGAAAAGACAAAAAAAAGAGAACATTAAAGTTATTATAGAGGTAGCAACTTCACAAAGAAGCCAGGCTAGAGTAATAAGGGAAGGAATGAATCTATTAAAAATTAGAAGGTTGGAGGAGGGGGTCTCATTTGGCTGGGACTCATACCTCTAGTGGCACCAGCCAGATGCTGCTAATGACTCTAGAAGATTGGGGGACCTAAGGCTGTTGTGTGAATGGTGGAAAACTGCAAACTGGATTAAACTGCTGCTACTCTAAGGAACTGCTACTGCCCCAGTGAAGAAGTAATGCCAGCCTAACACTCAGATAAACAGGGAGGCCCAACAGGGAGCAGCTGACAAGGCAGAAATGTGTCTTGTAGAGTCATGGCCCCACATCACAAAGCACAGTACAGAAGGATAGGTTTGGAGCTGGTGCACAATAGCTTAATAACTGGCACACTCCCTATACCCTATGACCCATCAGTTCCACTTCTATATTTAGACACTAAACACAGAAACAACACAAATGCCTTTCACTTGGGGAATGAAGACAAATGAATAAACCAGAGCTATATTTATCAATATGGATATAGCTTAGGAAACATTTTATGAAAAAAAGCAAGCTGTGGAAGTTTAAACATAGTGTGATATCATAATTAAAGTTTTTACACACAGACACAGAAAGACAACAGCATGGTGGTTACCACAGGGAAGGGGGGTGGGGGGAGTAAAGGGTAGAGGGGATCAAACATGGTGATGGAAGATGATTTGACTTTGGGTAGTGGCCACACGGTACAATATACAGATCATGTATCATAGAAATGTACACTTGAAATCTATACGAGCTTACTAACCAATGTCACCCCAATAAATTTAATAAAATAAAAAACCAATATATCTATAACTAAACTTTAAAAAACAATATATCATTATATATTGCAGAATTCATACTATATTTTAAAAATTCAGGGTACATTAAAATTCTAAACATTGAAAGAAAAATTTTAACTTTGGAGGAAAGCATAAGAGAAATACTATCATCTTGAAACTGACAATATTAAAACATAAAACTTGAGCAGAAGAAAAGAGTTAACAAAATTAAAGAACCACTCATAGTCTGGGAGATCTTTGCAACACACATGACTAAAAAAGAATTTTTATAGTCTCATATATTAAAAAACAACAACAAATAACATTTAAAACAAGAGGTAAGCCTGATTGGAGTGGCTCAGGTGGTTGGGCATCATTCCACAAAGCAAAAGGTCACTGGTTAACTTCCCCATCAGGGCACATGCCTGGGTTGCGGGCCAGGTCCCTGGCTGGGGTGCATGTGAGTGGCAACAAATTGATGTTTCTCTCTCATATCAATGTTTCTCTCCCTCCTTTTTTCCCTCCCTTCCCCTCTCTCTAAAAATAAATAAAATCACTTAAAAAAAACACCCCAAGAATTCAAAGATAAACTGCCAGTTAGAAAACAATGAGCAGCCCTAGCTGGTGTGGTTCAGTGGATTGAGTGCTGGCCTATGAACCAAAGGGTTGCCAGTTCAATTCCCAGGTGAGGATACATGCCTGGGTTGTGGGCCAGATCCCCAGTAGGGGGTGCACAAGAGGCAATCATACATTGATGTTTCTCTCCTTCTCTTTCTCCCTCCTTCCCCTCTGTCTAAAAATAAATAAAATCTTTAAAACAAGAAAAAGAAAGCAATGAGCAAAAGGATATGAATAGAGAACATGAACAGTCGATGCTCAGAACAAAAACCCAAATAGCCAATCAACAGAGAGGAAGATGTTCAACTTCATCACTAGTTAAGAAAATCCAAATGAAATAACAACGAGTTATCCCCTAAGGGGATCAGGACATATTTTCACAACAATGTAGGAGTCAAACTGTAACAGATGTATTCTGTGTACTCTGACGATCAGATGGTCCAAATGGGCTTGATCAAATGGTGAGGGGAGTCTTCACAGAGAAACTTTCTCCACAGCATAAGGCAAGTGCCAACCTATGTGCATTCTCTGATGTTCTGTGAGGTGTGCTTTGCGGCAAAAGGCTTTCCTGCATTCTTGACATTCAAAAGGCCTCTCTCCTGTGTGAATTCGCTGATGCTCAATGAGACGTATTTTCAAATAAAAGGCATTTCCGCATTCACCACATTCATAAGGTTTCTCTCCTGTGTGAGTTTTCTGGTGTTGACAAAGGGATTTCTTCATACTAAAGATCTTTCCACATTCACCACATTCATAAGGTTTCTCTCCTGAATGCATTCTCTGATGTTCAATGAGGCGTGCTTTAACATAGAAGGCATTACCACATTTATTACATTTATAAGGTTTCTCTCCTGTGTGAATTCGCTGATGTATCCCAAGAGATGAGTGCACCCTGAATGATTTTCCACATTCATTACACTGATAGGGTTTTTCACCTGTGTGAGTTCTCTGATGATTATTGAGAGTTGTCCTCATTCTAAAGAATTTCCCACATTCCTCACATTTATAGGGTTTCTCACCTGTGTGAGTTCTCTGGTGTTGATTTAGGGATTTCTTTGCACGGAAGTTTTTCCCACACTCACCACATTCATAGGGTTTCTCCCCGGTGTGAGTTCTCTGGTGCTGGGTAAGGGATATTTTAACACGAAATTTTCTCCCACATTCCCTACACTCATAGGGTTTCTCCCCTGTGTGAGTTCTCTGATGTATCGTGAGGGTTGCCTTCTCAGAAAAGGTTTTCTTACATTCGGTACATTCATATGGTCTCTCTCCTGTGTGTGTTCTCTGATGTAGAATGAGTTGTGACTTCCTACCAAAAGATTTCCCACATTCATTACATTCAAAGGGCTTCTCCCCTGTGTGAGTTTTATGATGAGCAATGAGGTATGATCTTGCACTAAAGGTTTTTCCACAGTCATTACATTTATAGGGTCTCTCCCCTGTGTGTACTCTCAGATGTTCAATAAGGTTTGATTTCCTACAGTAAGTTTTTCCACATTCATAACACTCAAGGGTTTTATATCTTGTACGTGTTCTTTTATGTCCAACAAAGCCTGTTTTCTTATAGAAGACTTTCCCATAGCCATTATATTCAAGAGTTTGATCCAAAGTTTGAATCTTCTGATGCTGAAGAAGGTCATTATCATGCCTGAGAGCATTACCCCCAACAGAATTGTTGCCACACAGCAGTGAGAGAGATCCTTTTAAAACAAATTGGATCATATCACTTACTCAGAACCCAACATGGCTTTCCTTGTCACAGTATAAAATTAAATTGCTTAACACAGTCTAAAAACTCTACATAATTTGGCCTCCAGTTAATGTTCTGATATCACCTCTTAACACTCACCACCCACACTTAAGCTACACTGCCCTCTTTGCTATTGCTAGGATATATCACTCAGACTAGGCTTGGCACTTACTGATTTCCATGCCCAGAATATTGAAAATCTACATGGCTACGTCTCTCTCACTTCACTGATATTGGTGCAATGATGTTAACCTTACCAGAAAGTCTTCCCTGAACATTCTTTAAAAGTTCATATCTTGTCATTGACTATCCTTCTTATCTTGCGTTGATTTTCCTCACTACCAAACATTACGTATTTGTTTACTACTGGTGTATTGTATTGCCCTCATGTAGAATTGCAAGCTCCAGGAGAAGAGGTATTAATTTATTCATTCTGGACCCCCATACCTGGAACATGACCAGCATATATTTGACGTTCATGAATGTATGAATGAATGCCCACAACAGAAGGCATCCAAAGCAACAGAAAGAAGGCATTGAGAATACTAAAGAGACACTAGCTAAGGATAAATGTCTAAGATGAGGCAGGCAGAGATTGATGAGTAATAAATAACCACAAAAATCAAGATAAAATAGGAAAGAGCACTTAAGTGTGAGCATGATATTGGGATATGTGATTTAGACATCTGAAGCATACAGACTTTCTGTCCTCCAGTCATTTTCAAAGAACAAGGGCCTCTAAAGAAAGGTTGCTGAAAAATACTGCCAAGAGGTAACCTTAGACCTGAATTCCTGGGCTCTTATCTCCTCTATTATCCATATGTCCAGTTCTTGCTCACTCACCTGGGTAACCATGGCCTGAGGATTCCTCCTCTAATACCCATAGTTCTTCTCGCTCCAACTTGCAGATCATCTCTGGTTTGGCCACGCAGAGGCCTGTTAATGGGAAATGGCACAGGACATGGGCCAACTTGTCTGAGCTTTAGGGCCTCTGATGAAGGAGGAAGGTGCATCTTCATGAGCTGCACAAGGAAGGGGGCCCATTTAAACCTTTCAGTGGGGGGAAGTAAGAACATACATACTCTTCCTGGTGCCCCAAACTGATCAATCACCTGTGATCCTTGCATCTAAAGCTAAAGTATCATTAAACTCTACAAAGGCTGTAAACATACAGCAACCAAAAAAGGAAACACATGATACAAGAAGTTACATGGACAATAATCCTCACCCACAAATGCCAAGTTGCTGTAGTTCTCCAGCATCACATCCTTGTGCATAGTCCTCTGAGCAGAGTCCAGTTGCTGCCACTCCTGTTGAGTAAAATCCACGGCCACGTCCTCGAAAGACACAGATCCCTGTAACAAAAATTTGCAATGATCAGAATGGGACACATGGAAAAGATGTTTTGGAATTAATTCTGTCAATAGTGCTATTGAGAATTGACTAGGAAAACTACACAGGATACATCTCCCTATCTCGCTTGATATTATACTTTGTGGGGGCAGAGGGACCCAGAACATCCCTGCTTCTATGTTACTTTTCATGAAGAAAAGACTACATAATACTCAGTTAACACTATGTACTCTGACCTGCCCCAGTTGCTGGGGAAAGAAAAAGGAAAAAGGAGGAATGCCTGCTCTCAAGGAGCTCATACCCCAGTAAGGATACTTGTATATGAACACATCCCTGTGATGAGCTGCTACAGGAGCTATACTGGACATGTATAAAGGGTGCAGTGGGCTTTTACAAGGGAAGGAATCAAATTGCATTTTGTGTTATGAGACTGAACTTCACTTGGGGAGGTAGCACTTTGAATCCTTAAATAAGAATATCATTTCTCTCATGAATATGAGGCAATAGCATAAGAAAAGGCAGGAAGACACAAAACACAGATAGTGAGTTATAGAATTATGTAGCACAGTATGACAGGAAAACAGTGCTTCAAGCTATGGTGAGATAAAAGGCTACAGCAGCAATTTTAACAGGTGTGCCACAAGTATTTTAAAAAAATGTAATACCTGACTATTTAGTCAGGAGCACTGACCTCTTTTCCCTTAGACTATCAAATAAAAAATGAAAACAGCCAACACAATAGCCATCCAGTCTGAATGAGCCAAAATTATATATATTTTCCTCAGATTGGCAAAAATTTTTTATGGTATGCTGCAGAATTTTAGTTATTAGTACATGTGTGCTGTGAGATTAAAAAGGTTGAAAACAGCTGGGCTATAGAGACATTCAGGGCTCAGACAGTGGAGGAATTATCAACTTTTTTTCCTATAGATCATCAGTCTCCAAAATACTTGACTTCCTATACCATCAGAATATTTTCTGACCTTCCCACAATATATTTATATTTATAAGTTACAAAGAATAGTATCGAGGGGGAGAAAGGGAGACCATATTACTCCCAGGATAATGGCATGAGCAGCTGAGTTGAGGCTGATGCCATATATCGAGATTAGCAAAACAGGGAAGAACAAACGTTGGCAAAAGGAGAAATTGAGATAGATCTTGAACCTGAGCTAGAGTGTTTGTGCTACATACTAATACAGACATCCAGCTGGCAGGTGATTCTGGAGCTCAGAAGAGAATGCTAAGATAGACCAATAATTGCAAATACTGAAGAAGGCATGCTAGTACTGAAATATGCTTAGAGTAGATTTCAGGTGCACTCAGCATACAAAAAAGGGTAACTATGTGAGGACATATGTGAATTAGCTTAACAACAGTACCCATTTCACTATGTTAATATATGCATATCAAGTCATCATGTTGCATACTTTAAATATATACAATTTGGGGTGGGGACTAAGGAAAGGTTTATTAAAAGTTTTTTTAAAATATATTTTATTGATTATGTCATTACAGTTGTCCTATTCCCCCCTTCAGTCCCCTCCACCCTGCACACCCCCTCTCCCACCATTCCCCCCTTTAGTTTATGTCCATGTGTCTTAAGTTCTTTAGATTCTATATTTCCCATACTATTCTTGCCCTCCCCTATCTATTTTCTACCTACCATCTATGCTACTTATTCTCTGTACCCTCTCCCCCCATCTCCTCCTCCCACTCTCCTGTTGCTAACCCTCTATGTGATCTTCATTTCTGTGGCTCTGCTCCTGATCTAGCTGTCCTCTTAGTTTGCTTTTGTTTTAGGTGTGGTTGTTAATAACTGTGAGGTTGCTGTCCTTTTACTGTTCATATTTTTTATCTTCTTTTTCTTAAATAAGTCCCTTTAACATTTCATATAATAAGGGCTTGGTGATGATGAACTCCTTGAACTTGGTCTTATCTGAGAAGCACTTTATCTGCCCTTCCATTCTAAATGAAAGTTTTGCTAGATAGAGCAATCTTGGATGTAGGTCCTGACGTGGACCTACTTCATGACTTGGAATACTTCTTTCCAGCCCCTTCTTGCCTGTAAGGGCTCTTTTGAGAAATCAGCTGACAGTCTGATGGGAGCTTCCTTGTAGGTGACTGTCCCCTTATCTCTTGCTGCTTCTAGGATTCTCTCCTTCATTTTAATCTTGGCTAATGTAATTATGATGGGCCTTGGTGTGTTCCTTCTTGGGTCCACCTTCTTTGGGACTCTCTGAGCTTCCTGGACTTCCTAGAAGTCTATATCCTTTGCCAGATTGGGGAAGTTCTCCTTCATTATTTGTTCAAATAAGTTTTCCACTCATGGCTGCTCATCTTCCCCTTCTGGTACCCCTATAATTTGGATGTTGGAACATTTAAAGATGTCCTGAAGGTTCCTAAGACTCTCCTCATTTTTTTGAATTCTTGTTTCTTCATACTTTTGTTTGGTCATTTGTTTCTTCCTTCTGGTCCACTCCTTTGATTTGAGTCCCAGTTTCCTTTCCCTCACTATTGGTTTCCTGTGCATTTCCCTTCATTTCAATTAGCTTAGCCTTCATCTGTTCCTCTAATTTGTGACTAAAATCAACCAGTTCTGTGAGCATCCTGATCACCAGTGTTTTGAACTGTGCATCTGATATATTGGCTATTTCTTGGTTGCTTAGAGTTATTGGATCTGGGGCTTTGAGTTCTTGAGCTATATAATGTTTTGGTCTGTTTGCACCTCTTATGTATGAAGGGCAGAGCCCTAGGTTTTCACCAGGGTAGGGCCACCCAGGTTGCTGGATTGTGATGCTGTATGTGAGGGCGGAGTCAAAGAGGGGCAATAGCGGTTCCGTCTGCTGCTTCCTGTCACTGGGGCCTGTGGGGTCTGTCTCACTGCCCACTCCTTCGCCTGGTTTATCTGCATATGTGAATGTGTGACCTCAGTCAGCCAGCCGCCTTGTACCCTCACTGGGTCTGCCCATTCCAACCCCATGCCTGGGATCTGCCAACTGCTTCCCGTGCGTCTGGGTCAGTCTGGCCAAGTTTTCCTGAGCAACCCCGCTCTGCCAGTCACTGGCTCTGCCCCTCTTACCAGTCTGGCTAAACGGGTCGTTGCTGTCAGACTTCTGTATAGTTCAATTTTCTATGTTTTGGTTGCATTTTTGTTACTAAAACTTTGTTGTCTTTAAACTTGGTTGTGCAAGGAGGCACAGAATTTCCACCTACACCTCCATCTTGGCCATAAGTTGGTTTATTAAAGGTTTGTTGATCAAGAAGGCACCAACTGAGAAGACAGGAGCCCTAGTGGTACCTCAAATCCATCTTCAGAAACTACAGACCTCAATTTTTTTTCTAGTATTTTTCTCTACTAGAAAAAAAAGAAATGAAAACACAGACTGCAGGCTTCACTTATGTCAAGGAAAAGAAAAATGGGAGGAGCTGCTTTTGTAGAACTCAAGCCACAAGCAAAATTCCTCAATGATTAACCTGTCTACACGCAAGACTAAGCAGAAACTATCAGCCTGAGGGTTATGGGAACAAAGCAAGCTTAAATAAGATGGAATCAGAGAGAGACTAAGCTTTCACTCTGTTACAGTACCCCCCTTTTTTGTTCATTACTTAGTCTTGAGGGAAATAGGGCAATCAATAAATATATACAATTTTTATAAATAAATAAGTAATAAGAAGAAAGAAAAAAGGGTTAATTAAGTGTACTATAAAAAAGTATTAACTCAAAGGTAACCTTCAGCATAAAAATATAAACCTTTTTAATTACCAAAAAAAATTTAGAGGAAACACTCAAGAGAAAAAGAAACACAGTAAATATGATGAGGTCTGTCCAGGAAAAGTCCAGCCATTAATATAATGAGAATGGTTTGCATGACATCGATGTAACCTGGCATGGAAGGACAGTGGACTGAAATGTGCATGTGTGAAGAACAACAACTTCACTGAACTAGTCAGTGGAGGAAGTAGATGCTATTGAGTGAGCATGTGTACTATGTGGCCATTGCATTCAAAATGAGTGAGTAAATCAATGAATCTGCATCAGCTTTTATGTCAAGCTTGAACATTGTTCTGCAAACACTATTACTGAAGGCCACTGCTATGGGCAACTGGTGACTGGCAGCTTCATCACAACAACACCCTCACACATCATGTCTTGTGCAGATGTTTTTCGCACAACATCAAATCACCCAAGTGACTCAGCCCCACTACAGCCCAGATTTGACACTCTGTGACTTCTGGGTTTCCCAAAACTAAAATTACCTTTGAAAGGGAAGAGATTTCAGACTGTTGATGAGATTCAGGAAAATATGATAGAGCAACTGATGTCAATTGGAAGACCTGTGTAAGGTCCCATGGTACCTACTTTGAAGGGAACGGAGGTGTCATTGTCCTATGTACAATGTTTCCTGTATTTTGTATCTTCTTCAATAAGTGTGTCTATTTTTCATATTACATGGCTGGATACCTTCTGGACAGACCTCTTATAACAAATACACATAGTAATTACAAAATATTTAAAATGAGAAGATTGAGAGCAAACATATTTGTATTATTTATATTATGAAATAGTAATACAAATAAATATGTATGTGCCTACCTCACCTATTAAAAGAAAAAAGGTTTTCCCAACGCCTCATAAAGCAGAACCCAACACCATGCTATATATACAAGAAACAAGCTTAAAACCCGGTCATTCAAAAAGGCTAAAATTAAAGAAATGGACAAAGATTTACCAAATTAAAACAATATAAAAGCAGGATTAAAATCCTGGTAACAGACAGAGTAATACCCTAAAGTAATTATATCAGACAAGGTAGGATACTTTGTAATGTTAAAAACCTTGCCCACAATGAAGATATAACGATAAAGACATTTGTGAATACCTATGCACAAAATAACACAGCAAAAGCCTATATTAACCAAAACCTACAGGAATGCAAGAAGAAATAGAAATGTTCTCTAAAGGGAGACTTTTAACATACTAGATTAAGTGGACAAAAAA